TTAGCCTTCCAAATCCACTAAGTCTACATGTTTCTGCCTTACATTTCTGCTCGTTATTGGTTATTTTTGAATTTTTCTCTTCATGTATTGAGTGTAGCAAATTGAAATGCTGCCCTCATGTGCAGGAATGTTGGCTGAAACTCAGTCACATTAAAGTTTCATTGAAGTCAAGGAGTAAAATTCGATTTTGAGCTTAGGAGTAGCGAAACAGTGCCAAATAATTATAACAACAATACTGACATCGAATTGATAACTAAAGAGTTCAACAGCTGCCATCATGCCACCCAGTTCACGTCGGAATCAGAAATGAACTCGGAACTTCATTTTTTTGAATGTTCTTCTGAAAAGGAGATCTGATGGTTCTCTTCAAAGACCGATCTACAGGAAACCAACATGGAATGGTCAGTACACAGATTTCCATAGTTGGGTCCCTTTGAGAAGAAAGAGAAACCTCATCCACTCCTTATCCTCAAGAATAAAGAGGATATGTTCCAGTGATACAATCGAAGGGGAACTGCGGCGACTCAGACACGTCCTCATAGAGAATGGATATCCTCCAAGATTTGTCGAGAAAATCATGAAGTTAAGGGAAAAGCCTGAAAGGACCTAGATGGTGCCGAAGAAACTGCTATTTATGAGTCTTGAATTTAAGGGTGATACCGCAACTGAGATCCTGAAGAATCGCTTATGCAGATCACTGAGGAAAGTCTTCTTTATGGCTGAGCTACAGATCAATTTCTACAGCCGACAAATGAGCAATGGATGTGTGAAGGATAAACTGCCACTTTGCGCCACGTCAATTTGTGTTTATAAATGCACCTGCTCGTGTGGAGCTAGTTAGACTGGCCACACAAAGCGCACGCTTTCCAAACGCATCTCTGAACATTATCCGGCATGGTTAGCAAAGGGACAATGCAAGACAACTACTAGCTCAATTCTCGAGCATTTGGTGAACTCAGGCCACGTAGCTCCACCAGAATCGTCTTTCAAGATCATCTACAAAGTGAAGCTAAATGGTACAAAGGGCGTCAGGTTTCGGCTTTTGTGTGAACTCTGTATACAGATAAGTTTGTCCAGTCTCTTCATTAGTCGTTCCCTGTAAAAAAGATTTTCTTTTTTTAATTTTACTTTTAGTTTGATTTTGCTTTAATAATTAATCCACTATTATCACTCTCATATGTTCCTTTTGTACATTTTCGCACCCTCTTCACACTTGTTAAAATTGACACTCAACTATCACCTTTATTCTAACTCAATAGCAATTTTAACCTTAACAAATTTCTATCTTTGTTCCGTTGAGTACCACGTAATTTACAACTTTTAACTTTCACATCTAAGGCCACTTATGATTAATTGTATCAATTATGTCACCTCCTATTACTCAATAATAGAGCACTATATATTTTTGGGTAAGTATTAATACGACTGTACAGCCTCTGAAGATGATTTCGTCGATAAAGAAAATTTTCTTCTCTGAATTTGTCTTTTTATTTCTTCATAACTCAATGGTTATTTTCGGTGATAGCAACAATTTCGCCTAGAATAACAGAAATTTGCCGCTCACGATGTGACTGGAAGTTAATTGATATGGGTATATGCACTATTCTTTCAAGCGTGCTGAAGTTATTGCGTGATCATGCTATGTTGTGAATTGGCAGAAGTTAGAATTCATGGGCCACTGGATCGGGTCCCAGTGGCTTAATGATCTACGAGCTCTCCTTGTAACCAGAAAGTCCTGGGCTAGAACCGCGTGGTGCGAATGTTTACTGATGAAAGCCCCGACCTAGGACGAAACAGTTGTCCAGTACTCCCAACTTGTTTTCCAATGGTTCTCTAACTGATGTCAGCTCATGATGAAATCCTCCAATCAAACATAAAAATTTAGCTAGACCTAGAACAGTCGGCCCTGTTAAGCTTGCATGTATTCACAAAATAGGGTGGGACAGGATGAGAGTATTAAAAAGTAATATATTTAGGTGGACGGTGGGATTAATCACTGAATCTATGTTCATCGATTCAACACTGAATCCAAGCAATCGAAATAACGCAACACCTATATTGTAGAAATGGAAAGTGGCAATAAGAAACAAGGGGAAGTTGGAGAAAGAGAGAAAAATGCACATGCAGCAAATTATGAAGCTGTGTGACTTATCTGATATGATTATGAGCAATAGATTATGCCCGAAACGTCCTCCACTTATTACTACTTCATTGAAACGGTAGAAGACAAGAGACTTGGTATTATTATTATTGCTCCCTTGGGTTCCTAGTGGAACATAGGGATTCAACTGCACGTCTCCACTTGCTTCTGTCTTCTGCTGTACTTTTCACCTGCATCCGTGTTAGTCCATACTGTTTCAGCTCCTCTTCACACGATCTCCTCCATGTCACCCTTGGATGACCCACTCGCCGCTTCCCTTTCGGGTTCCACTCGAGTGATGGCCTGAAGCGCGATGTCACCCAACGGCCTCCTCAGTGAGTTTCCAATCCATCTCCACTTTCTCCTGCATATTTGTTGGGCGATTGGTTCTTGTTTTGTTTGTTGCCATAGTTTCTTGTTGGTTCTTATTCTTTCGGGCCATCTGATCTCCAGTATAGAGCAAAGACAGTTGTTGATAAAGGTCTGCAACAAACTGTTGAAAATATTCTTGGTGACCCACTGGCCAACTTTCTGATCCGTATAGAAGAACTGACTTGACGTCGTTTGTATTGAAAATCCGAATTTTGTTGTCGACGCTGAGTGACGAAGATTTCCAGATTGGTTTGAGGTTGATGAATGTGGTTCTCGCCTTTCCGATTCTCGATTTGACATCCTCGTCCGTCCGTTTCTCCTGTAGTTGAGACATTGCTCCCTAGATAAGTGAATGAAGTAACTTCTTTCAAATCCCTCCCGTTGATGGTGATTGGCGGTGGATGTTGCTGCTGTTGTTGTTGTTGATTGGTTGGTTATTTTCATAACCTCCGTCTTGTCTATGTTCACCTGGAGTCCTGTCTTCACTGAGTGCTTCTTCGACCAGTTTGTCGGTTTTCGCTTGTAAATCTTCGATTTTGTGTGACATCAAACATAAATCACCCACGCGCGAAATCCAGGTCTTCTAGATTCTTCACGTCGGTCCAGGATATCCCTGTCTTTTCGTTTCCCACTGTCTGACGCATAATCCAATCCACCACAATTAGGAATATCATTGGTGATAATGAGCACCCTTGTCTGACTTCTGTGTTTACTCCAAACGCCTCACTGAGTTTTCCGTTGTGGATCACTTGACATGTGTTGTTGTCGTACATCTGTTGAATAAGGTTGATGAATATTTGGGGTACGCCGTAGACACTTCATAACAGAATGTTTATTTACACGTTCGATATCTTTATACCAGGAAATGATGTACACCTTATCTTAAAATGGTCATTTGCACAAATCTTCCGTGTTGTCCTCTGGCTTCTACTTCTTCACTTGTCTCCCATGTTTCGCCGCGACACGCGTTCATATATTCTCTTTGTCACGTCAAGTCTATCTCTCCACCATTTGATATTTTTGTGTCAATGAATTTCCCCCCGCTATATACTACTGATAAATCTTGTCAGTAACACACGCCCCATGTATGATATTTGTAATAAACTTATCTATAAAACACAAAATAATCGAGCAAAGAATATTCTTTTCGATAAATTCCTCTTCCGGCTCTACAATTATATATGCATGTTTATATACATAGAATATTCTAGATTAGTAGTCAATAACAATATTAGTGTTTTTTAAATAATATCGATTTGTAAAGTATGATCAATGCAATTACAGTTCATTAAAGATGCTTAAATAATAATAATAAAGATATAGTAGCGAATAGAATATCAACTAAAATTAGGAAAATTCCACAAAAATTCAGGATCATTCAAACCTGGATGGCCAAGGTAATGATAATGTCTGAACTAACTTATTTTGGATGCATAAATTAGGCTTGTTAATATGAATTCCCACAGGCTCAGCAATATTTAGTAGTCGAACTCCTAAGGCGAAATTGAAATTCGTAGGTATGCGGTAAATGACCCTGAAAGCATGGTTAACGTTAATCTTGTGTTCTGTATCCACAAGATGAGATAGAATAGCGCTGCGAATAGATTTTGTTTGTCCTTTACTTAACCACCTGCAGGGTGATGTTCGGAAATTCGACGAGAAACACGCCTAATTGTACGGCCTATGTAACTGGCTCCACAGGAGCAGTTAAATTGGTATATACACATGGAAGAGGCGAAATTAGGCAGTTTGTCTTTTACTCCCGAACGCAAGAGAGGAGTGGTTTTGAAGACACAGCGTAATTCGGCAGCAGGGAATGCTCTTTTTACCGCATTTCTAAGGCGCTGTGTTAGTATCTCGCTGATGTTGTCCCCAAGGAACTGCATTTGTAAGAATAAGGCCTTTTTGGAACTGTTGGTAACTTGGGCTGCTTTGGTTTTAGATTCATATTCTTATCAATAAACTTTTCAGGATAACCATTTTCACTTAGCAATCGTTTAATATTATTAAGTTCTTCATCAAGACATTCATCCGAGCAAATTGCTCTTGCTCTATGAACCAAGCACTTTATCAGATTGCGTTTGTATTTCAAGGGCACGAAGCTGAGAAAATGTGTATACTGACCAGTTGATGTAGGTTTCCTATATATACACTTCTTCTTATTGTGCCATCCTGTTTTCTGCTGGAACCGCATTCCAGCACAGAGCCCATTTCGTCTACACTTACACGAATAATATAAAACATAGTAAATACAACCAATTTTTAGGGATAGTAAATTTAAGTAGCTCATTAATTTAAACAAACCGCCTCACTATTCGACAGTGTATTTATTTATTCATTCACGCACAATGTTCAATACTTTTACTTGATCTCAGTAAACTTTTAACAATTCTCAATTATTTTTTCTTTTTGCTTATATTATTTTAAATATGAAAAAACACATTTATTTTGATGAAAAAGACAAATATAGTACTAATCGAACAGTGTAGTAAGTAGTTCATTATACACAATTTTTATTTGTTTATATTCTCAAGGAAAGAACATTGTTAAAGTAAAAGAAAGAAAGAAGGCAAAGCAAAGCAGGATAGCGTCATTGTTGTTTTAAACAATAAATAGAAAGATTTTTTAAAATTTTTGAATAGATTTCGTGTTGTAGTCTTTTTTTCAATGCTAACCAAAGGTAACATATGTAGATGAGAAATGAAAACGTTAGTGTTAGTTAAATAGCTACAATTGAGAAATTAAAAGTGAAAAAGCAAAATGTTAAAAAAAAACAACAACAACTGGGGAATGGTACATTTGTGGGAATGCAGCACCATAGGTCAGATGCATCTGCAAGAAGAAGTGTAAAGGTGGGGTGGGGGACGTGAATGCATTCATTCGTATTCATGCATATACGAATGCTTATATATATCTGAGCGATACACAAAACTACATTGTAGCCAAACAAAGATACTATTTACTAATTATTATTATTATAATAATAATATTAATGTATAAAAAGAGTAATATACATTGCAATTGAGCAATGAATGGACTTTTGTGCGTACTTACTGCAGATTATTAGGCCAAGAACTGATGGCAGGTTCTATCAATTAGCCAACATGCATGATCGGTTATTATTGCAGTAATAACAGTATTTTCATGTAAAGTGTACGACATGTAGTAACAATAAGCAAATACAAGGGGAAACCTTGTCACTGTGTGGAACTTTCAAACTTTTATTTCTCTACTAAAATGCTGTTCTTGTTATTATTATTATTATTATGATTATCTGAGAGGAAAAAAGGATTTCTTTCACTCAATAGCATCATATAGCAATGCCCTGTGATGATATACAATTGACTGATTGGTTAATTGGAATTGTTTTAAAATCCCATACGACGCATTCCACATTCTGGACAAAATCTTGCCGCTGTACTTGGAAATGTACTTCCACATTCAGCACAGAATTTATTTGCTTTGTCATTGGTCATTGCTCCGCCTGTTGGTTTTAAACTGTTCCGTGAATGATTAACAGTTTTGCTGGCTTGTAGAGTTTGACTGAAATTGAATAATAAAAAAGAAAAACGGAAAAATTTTTTATTGGTCATGCTGTTTTGTTTAAAATCTAAATCGTGAACTTTTAATTAATAATAACTTGAAATAACAACTGTGTTGGAACATTGAACGAGATGTCAGACAAGTTTACCTGTTCGGACTACGGATACTTATCTCGTCGTATTGCATTTCAGACTGTGAATTTAGACGAGGCTGAAAATTGTTTTCTTCACCGGGAAACGGCGTTTCGTCTCCATGATTATTAATGTAGGAATTCTGACTCCATGAACTTCTTCTATGTTCTCTACTATTACTATTACTCTTTGGAGATAATATTGTCTTAGGTGAAATTTCTGAATTATTATTCTTATAAGGATTGGATTCATAAATATAATTTTTGATACCCGGTGACTGATCATTTCGTAATAATAAAGGCAGTAATGAATTGGATGTTCGGCTTTTTCTATCTGATAAAAAAGAAGGCGGTGTTATGCATGGCGTTTTCTTAATTAGATTACGTGCAAGCTCTCGTGCTTCTTCATAGTCTTCTTGAGTTCTTCCTGAACGTAGGATTACTCCGTTAAGATTATTCGTTTCGTAGCTTTTAGGAATCTTTTGAGAACACGGACTGTCGTGTTTTCTTTGTGAATTTACAGTTTTATGATTTTTAGTTCTTGGAATTTTCGATCGATGTGAGTTTGAATTTGAATGATGATGATGATTATAGTTAACTGTATTATTGCTTATGTCTTCACAATCATTCGTAAAAGTCAGATTAGAATTAAGTCCTTTTGAAGGACTTACTTTTGGATTTTGGAAATCAAAACAATTATCATTAGATAAGCTTGACCTATGAACATACCGTGTTTGGCTGGTGGGTACACCTCGGTTAGAATTCGATACTACAGTCTCTTCTTTTGATGAATTAGGTGGTTTTATCTAAACAAAAATATAGAAAGTGAAAAGTGTGTTGATAGACTAAATGTTTGATAGAAAATTACTTTATACAATGAGGTAAACAGTTTCCTTCACGTTCCAGGGAACATAGGGCCCCAACTAGTGGCTTGAGTTCTTTATTTCAGATGGGTCGCTATGCACCTTTCCTCTTTACCAGCATTATTTCTGGCTTAGAGAGTAAAGGAGTGCTGGCCGGGATTGAACCATGACCATGTGCATGGTCGGTGAGCGTCCTAACCGCTATGCCACCGACGCACCGACAGTTCTGTTAACGGACCTTAAATGTGGTTATTTAACATATAGCCGAATCAAGGCGATTTTAGGCGTTTATACTCTACAGTTAGACTGGAATCTAGTTTAAGTGTAGGAGGTATTTTCCTTGGTGCAGTACAGTGCAATGCATGCAAGTCAAATCCGTTTCCTATTGATGTTCAGGTTCTGAGATCGAAATATTCCACACTGTAATGTTGTTTATAGTTTTGAATTCAATTTTAGAGTTTCCCGTCGATTGATTGGACTGAAGTGTTCGATCTCAAGTTGACTTGTCGGCTTCTTGTACAGATGCTTCGACGATGTCTGGTCGTGTAACCAGAAGTCAATTGGTGGATGGTGAATAGCAGTGGAATCCAGGATGCGCATTTCGTCCTATTTGGGACTCGTGGTCAGCTGGATGTGCCTGTATTCCCCAGTGGGTGATGGTTTTTCCCCAGAGTATTCAGTGAAATGTTAAGAAGAGAAACAACAATCACATACCGGATCTGAATAATTTGGTTACTGAAGGAAATCGTGGCTAAGATTTTACCCCTCGAACTGTGTAGATTGCGAATTGCTGAGTAATTTACAAACTATAAATTTGATTTATGGTGTCAAGTGGTCAGTCATAAATCCACTGTGGTTTGAATTGATTCACCTCTTTGAACTGGATCAAACCAGGTAAACTGCTGATGAGCTCGGCTCGCGGACGAAAGAAATCTCTCTCCAGTATTTAGATCACCTCGATCTTTCTCAGCACGCACTGCTGGTTGATATGAGTGGTATACAACTAATCATGTCAACCGATCAGTAGTATAGGGTTTTATGAAAACTATGTAAAACGTGGCACAATAGTGTATTGAACCAAATTTCTATACCTCATACTGTATGTATAGTAGGAAGAAGCATGACACTTTCTTTACTACCATAATGTATTATTATTATTGTTTCCTTTAATTCCTAGAGGAACATAGGGCTTCAGCCGTGCGTCTCCATTGCGTTCGGTTCTCTCCTAGAGTCTTCACCTGGCTCCAAGTCTGCCCCCACGTTTTCATCTCCTCTTCACATGACCTCCTCCAAGTCACCCTCGCACTGACGACCAACTCGCCGCTTCCCTTTCAGTCGGGTTCCACTGGAGCAATGGCTTGTCTAGTGATGTCACTTGATGGTTTCCTCAGAGTATGCCCAATCCATCTTCTTCCTGCTTATTTGTTGCACATTCGGTTCCTGCTGGGTTGGTTCGCTCCCAGAGATCTCTGTTGCTGATCTTTTCTGGCCGGCCATCTGATCTTGATTAGTATTGAGCGAAGACAACTGTTAATGAAGGTCTGTAGTTTGTTTGAGATGCTCTTTATGACGCGCAGTGCAAGTCTCTGATCCGTATAGTAGCATAATGTAACTGACAGTTTATTTTTCCTACCGTCGATTTGGTTCAGGCTTTCAGTTTTGTATCTGCCTTATCACCATCTCTTTCAAGTAAATAGATTAGAATGGTCTATTAAAATCGACCTGTGTTAAGCGTTAACTAGTTTTTTAAAACAATTTTTAGGTGACATGAAAGCTGATTAAATCAAATATATATCACTATTGTTGATGTTAGAGGGTTGGAGGCAATCGGCAGGAAGCCTTGGACCTAGGTTTGGGGCTAGTTGGCACTCACCAGTCAGCAAGGCATATCTGCAACCTTGAAGGAACTCATGGTGGCCACATTGCAAACTTGACTGGTCGAATGCAGTCTGCACCAACACAACAAGGACTAGATACATCACACTAGTGAATAGTGTCCAACGATAGATCACTATTGCTGTAACACTTTGATGTCGTAGTGTCGATCATTTGTTTATTTATTGATTGATGATGAAGAGCCACTAGGTGTTTGTAGATTATTCATACCACTTTAATCAGATTTTGCAAAAAAGACACTAATTGATATCTGAAGATCTATTTTTTTGAAAAAGTTTTGCTTCAGTACTTTTGTCGGTCTGTTATAATCATTCTCATGTTTTCAAGGAGTAAATGGATCAAATTTTAAGTCAAGTTGAAGTACTTGTTCAATCTTGGGCTTGTGAAGGTTTGATCGTTTTCAAGTACCTCATAACCAACTTATATCATATAGAGAACTATAAAAACCTTGGACTTCTAACGTGGTCATTGATGATCTGATGAAATATTGAGCCTGTTTTTCAAGGCGAGCAATCTATCATTTACCCAGTAGATAAGAATCCAATCGCTCATGAATTTTAATTTCTACAAGTATATAGTAAAACATCTACTGCATCCATCATCTCAAGGGCGTATCTCTTATTGTTTCTAAATTGAAGTGTACAAATTACCGGTTCTTCGCTCGATTCCCTACGAGGTCTTTGACACATACTAGTGAAGAATCATGAACTGCTAAAAGACCGCTTATCAAAGCGTATTGTTTTGGGTTATTTTTTAAATTGGTGTCTGTTTGTAACAAAGTTCACTTTGACGTTCATCACCTTATCGACAATCATGAACAAAGTTCATGTATTTTGAAATAATAGAGAAGATTACCAGCTCAGGTACATAATTTTGATGTGGTTGCGTTCTCTGAGCTGGATGGTTTAATTGTGAAGCTTTCATTATCCTTCTGAACAACATCTTCAATATCGAAAACTGCTCTGAAGATGTTATTTAGAAAGACAATGAAAGCTTTACATTGAAACCATCCATCTTAGAGAAGACAACCACATCAAAACTAGGTTATTCTTCTAAGATCGGTTGAATTAGTCTTCGTCCTCACTGTTTAATTTTTTGAGTAAGTTTTACGTTATTTGATAAACTATTGTAACGACAGAAGACAAGGGCCAGGCAACAGATAGTTTATTGAGAAAATCAAGAGATATTTATGTACATTGTTGTTAGCGAAGAAGCAACGTCTTCTGATTGGTTGTTTTCTTGTTGAAGGTTATTCTGTTATCTCTTTGTGGCTGTTTCTCAGAAAGTCAAGCCATATATCTGCGAATCATTCCATAATGGATATATATATATATATATATGTGCATAACACTGTATGATTTATCAGAATAAAGTCTTATCCATAATGGAGTTATACTCTACCACAGTGCCCAATTTTTATACTTATATCTGCGAATCATATTTCCACACGTTAACTCCAATGTGATTGGCTGGTAATTTTCGGAAGGTTAAGCTTTGTTGTGGATTTTCTCATGCCCGACATGAACATCGACGTAAATTGCTGGCTGCAATTTTTGGCTTGAGCCAGCTCTCACCACACTATGACTACATAGGTGGTTCAGCGGCAGGATGCCTACTAACAACGCAGGAAGTTCAGGTTTGATACCTTGGTGACTCACCCTTAAACCACCTAGTTTACTAACCGATAGGAAGTTTGGGAAAATTTTGGAAAGTTGGGAGTGAGGCCAGCAATCCCTCCCCACCGTAAAAGTAATGCCATCGCTCCATTATGGATAAGATTTTCTTTTGATAAATCCCTCAGTGTTGTACAGTAATATTAACTGATAGCGTTTCGAGCACAAACTAGTAGGTCGGGGGTAGTCAGATTGTCGGAACATAGGAATTTAGCAAAGGTAGGAATGGTTGACCCAGAGAAGATAAGCAATTTAGAAAAAAGCTCACCAATTGCACTTCACGCATTAACACACAACCACACAATAGGGTGGGAGAGGGTTAAGATTCTAAGAAGTAATCTATGTAGGTGGAGAGAGAGATTGATTACTGAATCCTTGATCATAGAGTCTACACCCAACACATGCAAAGCAAATACCAGAAATATGGAAGATATTATTACCACCAGTCAAATCAGAAGAGGATAATGAATAATCTTAAAATTCTATTTCAATTCAAACACATCACAAAATTCTAACAAGTTACCTATGGGTCCTGAAAATTCCATTAATGGTGAGAACAGGAGACCTAGCTCCTCTATTGCGAAACATATTATAGAGACAGGAGATAAAATTGACGCCAACACATCTTTCAAACCTTTCTAAAAAAACGTGTTTGGGGGCGTATCCTAAAGTTTGTGGAAGCCCTAGCAATTAGAAAGTTTAAACCACCTTTATGCGTTCAAAAACAATTCGTCATCACACTAAACCACCTTCCTTGGTAAACTTTGTTTTGATACATACCAGGGTAGATGTACTATTACCTCTGTTATTTGGTTTAGTGATCTTCATTGTTATTTTGACCTTCAATATGTCCTTTTAACTTGACCTAAGTCTATTTTCTCACCTCTTAACTCTTTATTAATTTCATATATATTCCTATGACAAGTCCGTATGTGATCAGATTGTTCGAAATGTGTTGCACAAATACACATTACACGATTCAGACAAATTACGTCTTCTTATGGCTTTATCTAAATTCATAAAGGGAACTAATTGTTTTAAACTCATATCATTATTTCTAAATATTGATTTTGATTCCAATATCTAATCGATTCCACACATGTATATAAAAGAAGTAAGAAAGTTGTGTGAGTAACTTGATATGATTATGAGTAGCGATAGTTTGTGCTCGAAACGTCATCAGTTAATATTACTGTATAACACTGTGTGATTTATCAAAATAAAATCTTATCCATAATGGAGTTATACTCTACCACAGTGGCCAAGTTTTATACTTATATCAATAATACCATCACCAATGGAACTTCAAAACTTGATATCCTATGTTCCACTCGGAACACGAAGAATGAAAAAATAATTATTTTTTTTGATTTTATACATTATAAAAACAACACAAACCATTTCATCATTAGTTTTGTGCAAGTCACGAGAATTTCGTGCACCAGGAGTGGTTGAATTTTCTAAGTTTAAAAGAAGAAAAGAAGAAGAAAGAGAAATGTAGTTAGTCGGAAGAAGCTGATAGAATCCTAAGAAGTTTTAAGTACATGAAAATAACTAAAATAGACTATTGTGAAAAATTGTTTCCCTCTCCTTGTAAGTATCATTTGATATTTTTTATTTCACTTTGTTGCTGTATTATGACTAGCATCTTAGCTAATTCAATTAAGCCTGGTTGTATTCGGATATTCTCATGTAATCTATTCATTTGTTCTTCTTAGTTATTATTCTACAAAAGTGCTACAAAAAACAAAAAAAACCTGAAACCAGTTTGGAAGTCTTCCGCACTCAGCATAAGGAACAAGATTCGCATTTTCAACACCCGAATCAAGTCGGTTAGTGCTTCTATGTGGGTCAGAAACTTGGACAGCGTGTCACGAGAAGGATTTCCAAAAGGTTACAGACTTTCATCAACAGCTGCCTTCGCTGTCTCCATACTGAAGATCAGATGGCAGACCGGAAAGAATAAGCAACAAGAAACTATGGGAACAAGCCAACAGGCAAGAGCCGATAGCTCAACAAATATGTAGGAGAAAGTGGAGATAAATCGGGCC